AGGTTCAGGAGATAACCTTTACACCTCTCAAGGTAACCCTCGTACACCTTCCTTAGAACAACCTCTAAGCTCAAGGAGGAGAGAACTCAATCTTTTCAACACTTTTATAACTTAAAATTTTTTTCCCTTTCTGCATAATTCTTTTATCTCCATGCAGGAATAGTTGGGGTATTTATAGACCTCAAATGACTTCAAAAATGGAGTCAAAAAAGGTCTCATCGCGGGTTTCTCGGGTCCTGGCGGTACCACCACTTGTGCTAGGCAATACTATCATTTGTAGCACTGATATTGGGCAGTACCACTGCCCAATCTGGCGGTACCACCGCCTGACATAGTTTGGGAGATTGTGTTTGGGCGATACCACTGCCCAATTTGGTGGTACTACTACCTAACACAGTCTCGGAGACTGTCTTGGAGACTGAGCCTCTAGTAGTGCCACTGCTTGGACCAGTAGTGCCATCGCCTAACTTAACTTTTGAGTCACTAAATGAGCCTTTCTCTTAGCCCAAAATAGCCCCAACATTAGCCAAATTGGCCTCTAATTGATTTGGCCTAATTACATTCTAAACCAACCTAATTAGAACTAAAACTAATTTGATCTAAATAATTATTACAAAGCATTAATCACATGTTATCCGACATATCGTTAGTTCATTCGACGCTTCATCCGACCCTTCAATGCATCGTCCTCTCTTGCGGTGACATGGGAGTGTCTAATTTACTATAATCTGATCATATGAACCTTGATTTTGATATGATATTTTTTTCAGCCAACAATGATGCCTCATAATCTTCAACTCGGCCCACTCAAATATGATAGCTCATCATCATATTCCCTACACAAAGTTAAAGCTATTTCAAGGTGCTTTTCTTTTTATGACCAAGGAATGCATTAAAGGAGTTGGTTAGAAGCTGTGAACACTTAATTTCGAAATTCCCTATGTATGAAGGGTTGTTTCATGCACTAGTACTAATGTTAGTGTTTAGGGCTTAGAAAGGACTTTAGAAACTGATGATATTTTGGCAGAAGCTATCTTGGAGTGCTCCCATAAACTCTGTATCTCTTGGATGCGTCCTTGAGTGGTGAGTCTTTTATATTCTAGTTTTATATCCTTGTTTAATTTCCGTTGGGTGATGAACTTTCTGTATCCCATTATGATTTTAAACTTGGTGGTGAGCTACTTTTCATTTTTATCAAAGTTGCTTCATTAGTTTGCTCCTTTTCTATTCGACAAGCTGTACTATCGGTTTTCTTTCAAATTTTATTCTACTACACCCCCCCTATTCTGCATCACACCGGTATCAGTTTGGTATCAAAGCTAAAAGTTAGAGATCATGACAAGGCGGAATGGAAAAGATGTAGTTGGTGAAGGTAGCGACCATGAAGATGACGCTGAGTCGTTGATGTTGAATCTCATATTTTGATGATGAAATCAATTGATAAATTATTTGATCTAATCCATGTGTTAAGATAAGTGTGCAGGATTAACTACGATAGCAGTAAGGCGTAAAGCAGATGATGGGCCGGAGTCGAAGACTCGGATGATATATTAGGAGCTCGCCGAGAGTTCATCGTGAGATCACCGGAAGCACGTTGGAAGACTCACCGAAAGCTCATGGGAAGATTACCGGAAACACGCTGGAAGCACGTCGGAAGACTAGCTGAGAGTTGGTTGGGAGTTCATCAGAAGCTCGCCGGAAGACTCACCGAAAAGTTCACCAAAAGATCGCCGAGTGAAAAATCGACATACCGAATCATGCTTGCCTTAATCATAGTTAGAACAATAATTAGAGTTGATTTGGGAGATAATCTCATCAACTCTATTAAGGGCCAATTGGGCCCGGAGTTGGGCTGGTTTGGGCCAGAGTCAAGGCCTAACCAGGATGCTGAATTCCTGGCCGACGGTGGCACCACGTGGAAAGCAGCACCCCATGTGGTCTGGGTGGTGGTACCGCCGACAGTTATTGCTGCCAGCAGAGGTACCACCCCTATCAGGCAGTGGTATCGTTAGAGCTAGGTCTACGAGCTCTGTCAGGCAGTGGTATAGCCCAGACTGAGTGGTAGTACCGCTTAGTGTCAGGTGTCAGGCGGTGGTACCGCCAGTACCCCAAAAATCCAAGATAAGACTCTTTTTAGCTCCATTTTTGAAAGTCATTGGGGCCTATAAATACCCCACCCTTTTCAGCATGAAAAGGTACCGAAGTGTGATTATAATCTTGAGTTATTGGGGTGTAAAAGTGTTGTAAACAAATGCTAAAGTCCTCCTCCCTTTCTAAATTTTGAGATCATTTAAGAGAGGTGTGAGACTTGTAAGGGTTCTCTCCTAAACCCAGGAAGAGGATAAAGTGCTGTAAATAGGTGTTCGGTCTTCACCTATTGAAGGAAGGCCTTTAGTGGACGCCGAAGGCCTCATCAGAGGAGGAATCCGAAAGTGGATGTAAGTCACCTTGACCGAACCACTTTAAATTCTAGTTTGCTTTTCATTTGCACAATTTACTTTACTGCAAACCACCTTAATCTTCTCTTGCACTTTTACGAAAGCTTTCAAGTTCAACTTCTCTCCGAAACAGATTGAATGGAAACCATTTTTATTGGAATCAGTTTTAAATGAAACAAACAATTTTCTGAAATCATGAAAGTTTTCCGCTACACTAATTCACCCCTCCCCTCTTAGTGCCGCTCTTGATCCTAACAATTGGTATCAGAGCAAAGTTCACTCTCATTTAGTTTAAAACCCAAGAGAGATAACATTTGCTAGTAACCAAGAGAGTCATTCAATTACACATCCGCCCATGATAAATGGGACGGATTACACATATTGGAAGACTAGAATGAAGATCTTCCTAATTTCAATGGATTTTGAGCTATGGAATATTATTGAAAATGGTTTTCAAAAGTCTTATCTTCCAATGAACGATTGGAATGAGTTGGAGAAGAAGACTTTCACTTTAAATGTCAAGGCTATGAATGTCTTGTTTTATGCATTAGATAAAAACGAGTTTAATCGAGTGTCGATTTGTGAAATGACTTTTGATATTTGACACACACTCGAACTGACTCATGAAGGCACTAATAGAGTGAAAGAGTCAAAAATTAATATTTTAGTGCACACTTAGGAGTTGTTTCGGATGAAACTGAGTGAGACCATTGGAGATATGTACATCCGATTTACAGATGCCGTCAATGGTCTAAAAGGACATGGTAAAAGTTTTTCGGATTTTGAAATTGTTAATAAAATTTTAAGATCCCTTCCAAAGAGTTGGGACCCTAAAGTAACGGTCATTCAAGAGGCCAAAGATCTGAATAATTTTCCTCTCGAAGAACTAATTGGGTTACTAATGACCTATGAAATGACTTATAAAGCTCATGAAGAGCTTGAGGACACCCTTGCAAAGAACAAGAAAGATATGGCACTGAGAACCGAAGAAGATCACTTAAAAGAAAACTCAAGTGATGAGGACTTTGATGAAGATTTGGCACTCTTAACAAAAAAATTCAAAAAATTCATAAAAAGAAATAAATTTAAAAATGACACTAAAAATAAATTTGAATCCAAGAAATATCAAGTAATATGCTACGAATGCAAGAAGCCGGGACATTACAAGAGCGAATGTCCCCTAGCCAAGAAGAGGCAACCAAAGAAGAAGGCTCTCAAAGCAACATGGGACGCCTCAAGTACATCCGAAGAAGAGGAGCCTACCATCACCGAGCAAGTTGCTCACTATGCACTAATGACCATTGGATATGAGATAACAAGTTCATTTAATGTAAATTTATCCTTTGATGAACTATTAAATACTTTTCATGATTTATTTGATGAATGCAAATCAATTAGTAAAAAATATAAATGGTTAAAAAAGGAGCATGCTTCTTTTGTTAGTGATTTCAATAGATTAAAGGTTGAGCATAATAATAGTTTAACTCCTTGTACGAAATGTGATGAATTAGAAATACTTAAAAAGGAAAACTTGCTACTCAAAGAAACTTTAGAAAAATTTGAGGTTGGTAGCAAGTCTTTGAACATGATCCTTGCCAATAAGAGTCGGGTAATGTCGATGAAGAAGGCACGGATACTAAGGAAAAGAGAAGAGGTGAAGCAGCTGCTGATGAGGACTCATCAAAACCTAAAAAGTCTAAGGTTTCCCTTGATCACCTTCTGGCTGAAAATGATGTACAAGATGAGGATGGAGAATTGGACGCAAATACGAAAGACAACAATCGTATAAGGGCTGCTCTAGTGTTGATGCTGTAACATTTTATTGGTGACTTTGTGTTGTTTTCTGGGACTTTATCTGTTGATCTATAAGGTGTTTTTTGTTAGCAAATGTTGCACATCTTTATTCTTTGTTTCTGTCATTATATCTGAAGCATGCTTTTGCAGTTGGTGAAGGAAATGTTCTCCCATTTTCAAATCAGTTTTCTCATGAACTTCTCATTCACACTATGGATCGATGGTCTCTTCTTCCCAGTTTGCGTAGGTCTTGCAGGTTAAGATGGTGTTCGAATTCATGAGCACCTAACTCGACATACTTTCGGCGACGAGTAAATTTGATATCTTCAATTTAAGTTCTGTATAAAAAATTGGCAGCGTGTGGAAATGACTCTTCACATGGATTAATTACTCTGTTCCAGAGCTCATCATCTTTTCTCTAACCCTTTTAATTTTTGACTTGAAGTAGTGTTAGTTAGCTCATCATCTTTAAACCTTGATTGCAACCTCACATGATTGATTGGCTACCATGATGGCCATGGTGCCTTCCACCCACCTTGCTGAAGCTTCATATTTCTGAACTGTAGATCTGAGTCAATTACGATCGAATTATGATCGTGAATTATAATTCGGTGATCAATTGGGAGAAGTGACTCCAAAGTCAGTGCTAAGCTTGATGTTTTACCATCGCAAGAGTCATCTTCAGGAAACATCTCTTCGTCCCTCCTTTTATGATCCATTGTTTCTGTTCTGATCTTGCTTTATCTATCTGCAGAAGTACAGACTCCCCCTTGTACGGGAACTTCCTCTCTTCGGCCATCAACATATCATGTTGTTTGCCCAATTTGAAAGCTATCAGTTTATCCAAGAACTGTGAGCCAGAAAATAACAGAGCACAGATCGATGTGGTGCATATCCAACAATCTTCGGATTCTTACCATACATCACAAGCAGCAATCAATTTTCACATCCGAATTTGACAGACGACTTGATTTGTATATTATTTACGTTGAAACATTCGACATTTGTGCACAAAGAAAAAGAGAAAGATCATATTTGAGTTGACTTGCTTTGAGAATCGACGACCTTCACTGCGCTGCGTTGACAAACTCCAAGAACGAAGGAGGAATTCAGCAGGCTTGTAGGCCGTAGATGATGCCGCGATGGCAGGCCACCTTGGCGTCTTGGTCGTCGAAGAACCTCCGCTTCATCTTCAGATAGACTTGGCAGGTCACCAAGCTATCTGATCCAGCTTGATGCGACTTCCCAGCTTGGCGTGGCACCCCGAGGGTACTCGCCACTCTCTCCAGCCCGCCGGAGAGACCCTTGCAGCCGCGCATAATGTGCTTGAGATCCACAGTCTCTCCGAAGAGCAAGTTCACCAGGCCGAGGAACTCTTCCAGGGTGTCGGGCAGAGGCCGGCCGAACCCCAGCACCTTGATGAGATAGGCGAAGTCGTAGCAGCTGTGAAAGGCGATCCATCGAGTGGAGTGCGGGCGGCAGAAACGGCAATGAGCGACGAGGCCGGATCGATAGAGGTGGGCGGCGAACTGGCCGGAGTCAATGCCGTAGAGGGGGAGCCGGTCGAAGTCGATGCCACTGGAGCGGAGCAGGTCGACGGAGTCCGGCGCGTGGAGGTCGCGTCGGACATCGAATTCCCGGAAGTTGAACTCCCACACGAACCCGACCCTGCCGCCGGTGCCGATGTCGGGGAGGCCGCCGAAGGCGTCGAAGAGGGTGAGGCCGAGTTGGACGAGCTCCATCTTGTCGACGTTGGCCTTGAGGAGGGCATAGCGCAGGCTGGGCGGGAGAAGACGGTGTGGCCTCCGAGTTCTGTAGAGGAAGCCGGGAAACTCCGTGTCGAAGGCGACGTAAGAGAAGCGATCCACGAGGGAAGCAATGATGGAGAACTCGTACTCCAAGTTCCACGCCCAAACCGAGCGCACCACCAAATATTGCCGCCCTCCTCCTCCTCCTCCTCGTTGCGAAGACATCTTTCCACGCGACGATACAACAGTGTGGAGCGAAGAAGAGCGTCGGAGAGGAGTGATTCGTGACAAGTCCAAAGGTCACGTCCTTATATAACAGGCAGAGTGTCCGAACCCCAGTTCGATTCGGAATCCTATCCGAATCGAGCTATAATCCTAATCCAAGAAGGAAAGATGCGGGTGATAAGCCCCAGCTCGATCCAATGTCTCTCGGAAACCTAGTCCGATTCTAACGATCCAAGGTATCTTCGTTTGAAGTACGTCTCCACATTTGTGGGCCTTAACGGTCTCGGCCTTCAATCAACTATGTATTACCGCTGCCTTCGTCGCTCGAAGCTCCACGACGGCACACCCCGCGGAGATGGGAGACCCCGGAGCGGCATCGAGGAGGAAGAACCGATTACCGAAGGGGGGCAGCGAATCTTCCGATCTCCACGCCGCCGCGAGGAACGGGGACCTCACCACGGTCGAGTCCATCTGCAACGCTAATCCCCTCGCCGTCAATACTCGAGATCGCCATTCCCGGACACCGTATCCTTTCTCCCTTGTTCTCCTTTCCTCAATCTTCGCTTTTGTTGTCGTTATCATGTGGTGGGCTCTTCGCTTGGTTCAGAATCTGTCGAGCAAGCAGCTTATTGCGCCGCCGAGAGTTTGGCACTGAGTTTTAAGGTTCCCTTAGGGTTTTTGAGCTTTAACCTACTTGGCTGGTTCATTTAAATTCCTTTGCTAGGATTCGTATTGCTGTCTGATTTGGTGCATTATTTGTGACTAGCTGGCCCTTCTGAGTCTTAGGTCTTAAATATCAACTCGATTCCTTTGAAAAGAGAATGAAGAAAAGGATATAGATGATGAAACTATCTATCGATGGAGGATGACTGTGGCAATGATTTGCAGAAATGATACATGCGGATTCATCCACACTGACACTCTTCGGTATGAGAACTTCCACATAACTTGTGGGTGGAATTGTGTTGCTTCGATACTTAGATTTAATATAGGAAATGTTCATTACGAAGCTGAGAAATTTTTGCTGTTGACAATTTATACATCTCTTTTTTGTCAATTTATGTTATGAATTTTTGGGTATTAAAAATTTTAAACATCCAAGAAGTGCTTTACTTTTCAAGATCTCGATATCGGGTAAGTAAATTAACAAAAATTATTCAATATCTTGAACTTCCATGCGGTCAAAAATAGGATATATCATAGTTTCTCTTACTAAACTTGTTGTCATCTTAGAAAATTGCAAGTCATAGGTTACAAACTCAACTTTTGGATATTTCTTGTTAACACACAGAGACAGTCGACTAGTGAGTTGGCCCGATTAGTTATATGTCCAAAGTGTAGGTCCCTTCTGTTGGCTTGCCTTCTAGTCGTGCCTCCGAGCTATGCTGACGACCTTGCATAATAGGCTTGCGCCGAGGGTGTCTTAGGTCGACCCCTCCGATGCTTAAGTTAGCGAAAGATGGACAGGGAAGAAGACAATGGTGAGAGTAGTGTAAATAAGAGAATAGATGGTTTTTGCCTGCCTCATTTTGTCTAGGTATAGGTCTTGGCTTTTATACCTACTCATTGAGCGGTCTAGACGCGTGTTAGCCAAGGCCTCCCTTACTATGTATGGTGGAGGCACTAATAAGGATGGCTTGTTGGTGCGGACCGTTGGGATGCCTTTGGGCTAACTCCCCTGTTGCTTTAGGTTAGGCAGGGAGTGAGCCCTCCATCAGTCATCCGAAGGGGAAGGCTGGTGAAGTCGGGCCATGCTGTCAATCATTAATACGGAGGCATGGCTTCTTCTGAGATGCCAGCCAGTAGGCGACTGGGGAAGCAGGGGGCATGCTGCCAGTCATTAATGCGGAGGCATGGCTTCTGTTGAGATGTCAGCTAGGGCAAATGTAGGATTGACGAATGTTGACATAAGTGAATCCTTTCTTTTTTCCTTCCCTCTGTCTTTGTTCTCCCCCTTTCGCATGGTAGTTCACTCTCTCTCATTTTTTGATCTCCCCCTTCTGCTTTGGGAGGTTTGCCTCTCTGTTTTTTTCCCTCCCCCTACTGTCCGGAAGGTTGGGTCTTCTTTTGGGCTTGCCCCTTCTTCTGCTTCTTGGGCAGGTACTCGACCAACAGGGTGTGAGTGTGTTGGCTCGATCGTATGAGCGGGAGGATCGGTATCAATTCGTCATAGCGGGAGTATCTATTGGGAAATCTTGGGGGGCGACATCACATGTGCAACGGAAGAACAGAAAACAAAATCCCAAATTCCTAAAGATGTATTCGTCGTCGTGCGAAGATTAGTACGCAAAAATCCGCAAAACTAGAAACTGCGTATAAGATAAATTGTGTTATCTAGGGAGATCGTATATCCCTGAATCCTTGTAGATTTCTAGGAGAGGGTGAATGAGGTCAAGTGCACTCCTCTTTGGTAGAGAGGGAGGAGAATAAGAGAGGCAAGCAAAAGGCTCTAGCCTATGAACCACTGATTCCCTCCAATTTATAGAGTTCCGTAGTAAACTTAACCCTAATGGATTCTCCCATATTGGGTATTGGATCTCCATCCAACTACCCAAGCATCTTATATTAGTAGATCTCTATCCAATAATCTCTTATGGGCTCATATTGGATCTCGTTAATGTGATCCAATAATTCAGGGGGTTATTGGATATCCAATAAGATAGGGGCTCCGACGAATATTTCATATTCGAACCTTTACTAATCGTAATGCTTACCATATGTGTGTAATCCTTTAGGCCCAATATCGAGCTGGCCATGAGTCATACCTATTCGAACTCCTTCTGGCTCAGTGAATTATTATCTCCATAATAACTCACTCGACTCATCGACTACGGACGTACTAGGCCACTACGTTGCAGTCCCCAAACGATACAGGGGAATTTAATCCATTGGACCTGTCAGTCCTCAGTTACCGTATATTTATAGTCCCTCATCCATATAATATCCCAGAGACCGTATTCCAGGTATGGTGTTGTCAAATCCATACGGTTTCTACTCGAGTCTCGCTCTAATCGGATTCTCTCGGAGAACTCTTTCTCTGTTAATCCGAATGACCCTGGCTAGGGATTTGTCTGAGCAAGAACATATGTGATATTTCTCTCATGATACCGAGAGCGGATGATCTTCTATCGACACTCAATAGCGCTCGTACGGTTGATTGTCACTCCCGATGATCGACTTTGCTAGATCTAGGACATCCAAACCTATAAGTCTAGTATCAAAGAGTGGAGTACTAATACAAGACATCCTTGGTGTCTCAAGTCTAAGGATCAGATACGTCATTGGGACTACGGAATCGTTGTATGACAATAAGGCATCATCAACCATCCAACATTTCGGAAGCGGATCAATCAGTGAACTCATTCTCCAATGAGCACCTGTACTATATCCCTAGTGTTCCCACAAGAGCAGCTATGAGACCAGTTGCATCCATCATATTGACGGGTATACAGCACACCAATATGTCCGGTTATCTTGATATCCCTCTCGAGTAAACCTATGACCAGGATTATTTAGGATCTGTGTTTAGAAGTGAATTGATCTCATTATCGTGATTACATTACGATCTGATTCCCATTGAACTGATCCAAGGACAACACTATATAT